CTCTGGAAGATGTAGGGTCCTTCACATACCTAGGAAGCATCATCGATGAACAAGGAGGTTCAGATGCAGACGTAAAGGCGAGGATCGGCAAAGCAAGGGTCGCATTCCTACAATTGAAGAACATATGGAACTCAAAACAACTTTCAACCAATATCAAAGTGAGAATCTTCAATACGAACGTCAAGGCAGTTCTACTGTATGGAGCTGAAACTTGGAGAACTACAACAACCACAATCAAGAAAGTACAAGTATTTATAAATAGCTGTCTACGCAAGATACTCAACATCCATTGGCCGGATACCATCAGCAATAGCCTTCTGTGGGAGAGAACAAACCAACTTCCAGCTGAAGAAGAAATTAGGAAAAGACGATGGAAATGGATAGGACATACATTACGCAAATCGTCAAACTGCATCACGAGGCAAATCCTAACTTGGAATGCTGAAGGGAAACGGAAAAGAGGAAGGCCAAAGAACACATTGCGTCGGATAATAGAAGCAGATATGAAAAGGATGAATTACAACTGGAAGGAGATAGAAAGGATTGCCCAGGACAGGGTTGGATGGAGAATGCTGGCGAGCGACCCATGCTGCTTCATGACGAGTAACAGGCGTAAGTAAATCAGTGATTTCCAGTTAATCAGTAAATGGAGAGTCTGATTAGTTATTATATACTGAAATCTCGACCACTAGATCGTATTTTCAAACCTTGCTTCTGTTTGGACAGGTCAAGTACATAAACATATTCTTGGTAAATAGATTAAACAGAGACTGTGACAAAGTTATATCCGTGATCATTGTTGGCTATATACAGAATTCCAGTTAGACTATAGATATCATGTTATGGAAACTTTATAAATCGTTTTGAGTTATGGGTTACAAAATGAAAATAAACGGTTGTAACAGAAAAGCTATAACTCCCATTTATTTTGTGATGATAGTCAAGTTTCACTAGGCCAAATACTACACTACTTTATCCGATACCAGTTAGCTATAAAATCAAGATTATTTAGAGATCTGCCTGGAACAAATTATTGCTTATGATGGAGTTTCGTTCTCTGAGCTGGATGGTTTAGTCGTGGAGCTTTCAATGTTCTTCTGAAGGACATCATTAACACAAACTTCAGGTAGAAGTGAAGTGTTCGAACTTCTCCATATATGATCATCCAGCTCAACGAACAAAACCCCATCAAAATCATCCACCTGAGTTACAAATGTCTATCATCTGCAAATCATTATTTTTTCCAACACTACAAGCGGATTGTAATGTGTTACTAGTCTTTTTTTTCTTCAGAGATGGACACTTCGGTCGTCCTTACAAGAGAAGATATACGACCTAACTTATTTCAGGATAGACGGACGTAGAATATTAAGCAAATATTTCAAGTTATATACCAGTTACTCGGTAAGATTAAGAGATAAATGCATTTGCATACAGTGTATCAATTCTAAAGCGAAATGAATCTGATTTGATCTCTTGAAGTGTACAACAAGTTTGCATGATAACTAAGACCCCCCCCAAAAAAAATAATAAATAAAAAAATCACAAGCCTGTAATGTTTGTATGAACTAATGATTCTTTTATACTTGGTGTGTGCCTGATTTTAAATTCTCAATACAACATGCTCGTCTATGCTCACCTAGTTCTCATTAGTCAAAACTCCTAATTCATATAATAATTCAAATATTTCTAATTATTACAAAACCTCAAGGTTAATTATTTCGATAATTCATTATTGGAAACGAATTTACTTGGCAACCAGTAATAAAATTAGTGGATGAGACTATATTTTATAGTCGACCTTTGAGTAACGCTAAAGTAACCTTCAGAATGTTCACTTACTAACTGGGATTAAATGATGATTATAATCTAGAGTGAGGAATAAAAATCATGATTTACAATTAACGGTTTAAGCTAGGAATTAGATTTAAGATTTTAATCACGAACTAATATCAGCTAAAATGCCAAAATGCTATTTAGCCAAACGGATGACTAAATTTCATGCCAAAATCCAAGATCTGTTATACCTAAATTTGATTGGTTCGTCCATAAAATTATAGTCTCTTCCAAATGTGATTGGTCATTGAATGTGGACAAACATGTACTCAATTTACAGAATAACAAATATGATTTCTTTTCTTCTCATTGATTTTACTCCGGACTCAGTAAGGATGAATGCTTGTAATTGAGTTAAATGGTGTTTGGCGTTACTTTGGTTCTCTATTCTTGGTCATGATGAAACGTGTATCTGGTAAAACGTGATCTGATCTGTGTGTAGATGATCGTTCGAATATTCAGTCTAACGGTATTATAAACTCGACCACCCAGCCAGTCTCATTGTCATATTATTGTATTAGTGTGATTATACCTCAGGGAGTGATATTGTAATTTATCCATTGTACCACAAATTGTGAAGAAATTATCGGGATTTGCAAAGCTTAAAAATGGAAATAAATATCCCGTCATGGGGAAGCAACAGTATCTAGATTAATAAGCGGTGAATTCACAAGAGGAACTTGGACTAAATGAAACTCAAAACAGTGGAAACCATTATATATGGGAATTATATTTGAAATAATCTCAGCGATTGAAATTTGAATAATTCCAACGTTTCGTTCAGCTAAGTTGTCTGTACTTCTGATCATTATCCTGAAGACGTCCTGACAAGTGGGCTGGACGCGAAACGTTGGCATTATTTAAATTTCAATCGCTGAGATTATTTCAAATATAATTTTCATATATGATGACTTCTCTATACTCGGCGCTTAATTCCTGTCAAACTATTCGTTCTAATCTTGACGAATATTCGTATAAAATGGAAACCATGTTTTTGCTAAATTAATTACCCAAAGGAGTTCATCGGTGAGTATGTTAACACAAAACAGACATGCCAAAAATGATACAAACGAGAAGTCTCTTTCATACACCCTGGCCTCAAAGGGATAAAATCACTGACATAATTAGTCACAATAAATACAACACTGATAATAACTTATGATATAAAGGACTATTCACTTGGTACGGAACAATCGCTCTCTAAAAAGAAACAAGGGAGAGTCATTTCTTGTTATCAACACTCACCTCAACCGCATACGTCAGTCTACATGTATGTGCTAAAGATTTATTTTAGAATGATGTAGGGCTCATACAACAATATTTAGTCGGCATTGGCTGGATAGTCCATATCCGTGAGTCACTAAAAACGTGCCGTAATAATTATATCTTAGTGGTACTTGACCCAGCATACTATGATGATCAAGGCGAACTGTATCGTTTGGAACACTTGATCTCCTAGGTCCAAGCATTCTATGTAGGTCGATTATTGATTAATGTAGGCGGACTTCCCATTTCAGGTCGCTCGAATCAGCAATTATGGTCAGTATTAGGTCTCATCGTCCCCCCTAGGTTTAGTTATGTGTCTATGGAGGGGACACGAAGCTTTCGGAATTTAATTAAATATCTACTGAGAATTTCTAAGATAAAAGAAATGGCTGACTTGGGTCTGAATGGTGTCAGATTCAACTAATTTATAGCTACCAAACTAGTTGTCGGCATCTGTGACGCTCCTGCTTGTTCGGATGTTAGATAAACAGTGAATCACAACGAAAAGAAGGTTGCGATAGGTTTCTACGGATGGATCGTCCCATTGAAGGAAGGATGACATTTCCAGATGATAAATGTACTTTGTAAACTGATTACAGTTTACATCAACAGTTAACCTAATTACTATTAAGGACATTTCTATTTGGTCTTTTCAACGTTCTCTTTAGATCCAATGCACATGGTATACTGAAGTTGTTATGAAACTAATCAATCTGTGGCTAGATTTCTCTCACAGAAGACTTGGAGGCATAAAAAAAAGCTATTATCACAGGCATAAATAAATTCACTTCTCGTTGTGTTGGAAGTGCTCCTTCTGACTTTCAATGAAAATGTCGAACAATTGTTCCTTTATTTAGGTTCCACGGCTATTAAAACCCCCTTACTATTACCTCTGTACTTAAATTCCAAACATTTAGGATTAGGGATATATAGGTTAGCGCATCTTAAATTGTACAGCGGTGCAACAGATTCAGTTAGTAATAATTTACGTAACTTTCTTGAGGAATACGAGCGGTGCTACTAACTTAAACACAGACTATGATGTACATCCACCAAAAAGTGTTGCTGATGACGTTTGTTCGCATAGAGCTTTCGATTAGCGACCCGCTTCTCTCTATGAGTCTCATATGGAACATTAAGAATCCAATGCATAGCCGTTACCCTATGATGGAGCAAGTAGCTCACCGTTATGTACAAAAGATTTTTTGTGGTAGGCTTTAAGCTAGTATTTTAGCAACTACTATAGGCACGTCAGTCAAGTATGGCTACAAGAAATTGATAGTTACGTCTAAGGATACTGGAAACCCATTATTTAAACCGGATGATGTGCATAGCACTACACGGTAAACCTGGGCTAATTACTGATATAAGGAAAACGGAACAATTAGGTTTAGCGTTCTCACTGACATTATTATTTTAAGAGACCGTTGTCTTCTAGTGAAATAGGTTTAGTCATATGTTCTATTAGTTTCTAACTTTTAAATATCATTTAGTGTACTACAAAGCAGTTTGAGGTTATCAATGGACTCAGTAAGAAGCAGGCACTAGTTACAGCAAGCAAGTGGCTTGTGGGAGAACTTTGTATGTATCCTGAAAACTTTGTGGACATGCACCTGAACAGTGCTCAACCAGGTGGTTATTGGTCAGACATCAGGCGACAGATTATGCACTACCGTGATGAGTTACATATACAGATATTCCATACAGACAATTTGCAGACTGCGAAGGATTTGTTAGTTTTGTTCAGCAAAACTGGCCGGTTACCATGTCAATAGTTTGACGGATGAAAACACATTCCCCAAAAAACACAGAGGAGCCCACGAGGTAAGTACAGTAATCTTATTAATCTCTCAAAGTATTATTGAAACGGGACCAGGGTTCCTGTAAAAATCTAGGCTGGATTCGTAGATGTTTTATTTATGCTTATAAATAAGTTCTACACAACTAGGAACACTGCCGTCAACTCATGTTGGCAGTGGGTTTGCGGCTGAGTAAGTCACATTTGTAATTTGCTTTAAATTCGCGAAACTAAATCTTGTTCTGCATCAAACGTGGTCAGCAATACCAGACTTTAGTGCCAAAGTTATGCAGCTCATGTTTCAGTCCAAGTCTGATGCACAGTGAAGCCCAACTTTTTTGTCCAGTTTGCAAGAGGAGCTGCGAACGTCGGATGAATGCTTTCGGCAAGAAGGTACGGATTTGTAAGTCTGCTAAATTCGTTGAATTATTACTACATATTTCAGATGGCCATAAAAACGTGAATAATGGATGATAACTCTATGCGCTAGATTTTGTCACATGTCATATAGCCTGAAGCGGTCAACCACTTTACACTGCTTGGCATTTCGAAAGTGCAGGTCTAATAGAAGCATACTAAGTGAAAGTTCTTTTTGTTTTAGTCACTAGCTTCCAGGATTTTATTGTTCACTATAACAAAAGACTGCAAAATACTGACATCTCAGCGCAAAGTTATTCCCATATGTGAGGGGAGATAACGCAGTAGTAACTCCAAATGAGTTTTTGATTGTTGTTCTGTCGGTGCAGAGTTCAGTGTTGACGAGAATTGCAGCAAGTTTCAATTAATTTTGTCAGTTAGTTAAAAAGGAAAGCAGTTTAACACTACTGTAAAGGTTGATCTTTATTAAAATCCAGGTTTCACAGAACGCTTATTACGACTATGAATAGTAATAAAAAAGGTCCAATTGAGCGTTGGTTCTTAAAACTGTATTTTAGCCATATTTTTTAAATAAACTTATCTAGCTATGCATTTGCTTTCTTAATTACGCATGCTATGTTGGGTGTAGGTAGATAGAGCGTGCCTGATTTCATATGGTGTTGACATTTAGGACACTGATAAGAACAACGTATTACTAGCACCTGCTTAACGCAAATTTTTCTGATCGTTGGTGACAGTAGGACTGCTTACGATGCATGATGAACGTCTAGTCGCCATTAATCTATATTAAACGACGGTTTCACTATCAGTAAATAAACTCCCTGAATCCGGTCGACTTCATCTAAATACTTATTTCGTGATTGAAGAATGAGGCAGGTATAGGAGACTTTCGAGTTAAGAGGAGCTAACCTACGTGGAAATAAGACAAATGGTCGTCCATTCAATGCTAGAGAGGTAAGAACTCGAGGAATGTCCGACTCTCCAAACGACAGGCAAGGCATTCGCGTGTGTAATCTTCTTATGTCCCCTGTCATTAGTTCGCTTAGGCATACCATTAATGAGAGGTAGTGACATCACACTGACCAGAGTTGCTGAAGGTGTAAGGCGGGAATCAAACACCCTAATCATCGCTCCAAAGGCTTGACATGAATATTTAGGTCCAGGCAAGGGACGGATCCGCGCGAAAGCATGCGGGATAATAACACGCAAGAGAAAGATGCAAGATTACACCAGCCATGCACTCACCTCAAAAGCCGCGAATTTAGAAATTGCTACGGACAATCACTGCACCAAAGCAATCACCACGCAAGGGAGCTGCCACGTGTAACTTTACAATGATCTCACGTTTAGAAAACATTGGAACAATTTGCTTGCTCAAATTTTCCAGAAATCCGACTACCAGGCCAGTCTCTGTACCGTGTCGAAATACGGAGCCGAAGCTAGACCTACCGGTAGGACGGACCCACGCTGTATATCGCCACCCAACTACTGGTAAATAAACTACTTCAGCACACAGTATCACTGCAAGTCTGAATGGCACTAACCACACCGGAAAATGCGTCAGCCCACGGGAAACCCACCAGGGTCGGCGTACGATGGAGTCCATAACTTACTGGATGTTACTAACGTCTAGTGGTCGCAAGATTTGTCACAAAACGGACTTGAGTGACGCGTCTGAACTGTTTATGAATTAAATCTAAAGTTGTAGTGCAGTCCACAGCTCTAGGTAAAAGAAAATACGCTACGAACCCAGTAATAAATATTATTTGCTTAGCGATAATATATTTTACTAAACTTTGCATACAAGCGAACTTTACAATTTGAGCAGAATCATCTACAACAATTTAGGACTCATTGTCAACACCCTGCAGAAACAGGAAAAACCACGATGATTTGAGATTACACCTGCACATTTCTGGAGATCGATTCAACAAAGTACTACTTGAGACACCTTAAGATAGTGTCAAGAATGAAAGGCATCGGGTAGTTTACAAAGCGCTGGAGTTTGTCTTAGAATTACTTGTCAGTCAACGGCATTACAAAACACCCAGTAACTAATGAGCTTGTGTAGCTCCCACTCCACCACCGGCCGCCATTGCTGCCATTAGCGCATGATAGGTGTGGTTGCCGGGGATATGGTGACCGGCTATATGTTGAGCTGCGGACAGTTGCTGTGTTTGTAGCAGATGAGGTTGAGGGATTGCTGGGTAATGTTGTAACATTTGTTGTGGTTGGCAATTCGGTTGAGACATAATATGAGTCTGCTGTAACTGCTGGGAGGCGGTTGAAGAAGAGTCGGATTGATTCGACTGATTTGCCACGCTGGCACCAAGTTGATGAGGATTCGGTTGGCCAACAATGGGTGATAAGCCAGAAGCAATATGATTAACTCCTGGTGTCGCTATCATTGCAGATGGCCCGGGATAAAACCCAGGGGAATTCTGTTGAGGAGCGAACATTAGATTATGATGATATGGAGCTTGGAGATTTGCGTATGAAGGGATTTGGATGGAGTGGGATTGATCTTGAAAGTGTTGAGAGAATAATTGCTGAGATTGGGAGGTTTGTTGAGGTGTAGTTGTTTGATTAATCTGTTCTGGTTGTCCAACAGGGATTTGTAGATGCGCAGGTTGCATTTGCATGATGGTTGGGCATATTTGCTGACTAGAAGGTTGTGATACGTGAACACCTCCCATCATCAAACCAGAACTAACAGCAGTAGGCAAACCAGAAAGGAACTGCAGTCCCACTGGAGGATGACTGGAAACCAAGTAAGGGAACGTACCGTTTGGTTGAGGTAACTGGTATAGTGCTTGTGACTGGAAGGTGGGAATAGACATAGTTGACTGTTGGACGGGATACGATGTACAGTGGGTTACCGAAGAAGGGGAATCATTGGAACGTTGGCGTGTGAAGTTGACGGAAGACGAAGGACAAACTGGAAGGCGACCTGTGGAGTTTTGACCTGTAATCACCTGAGGAGTTGTAATAATCTGCCCTAATGTAGCATTCTGTCCCAACTGATGCATCATATTACTACCATGAGTGACATAGCTTTGTTGATTAACAGACGGGGGTAGTGCACTACCTCGGACATGCTGAGGGTTTGTGCCAGGTCCATTGGAACAAACTGGAGTAGGTAGTAGTTGTTGAATATGTGTCTGGTGACCATAGGAGTAAGGTGCATACATGTGCTGACCTGCAGCAATAAACGTAGCTTGTGTCGGTAATTGAGAGGCTTGAGAAATAACGTTTACCGTTGATACGTAATGTGGAATAGGCATGTTTAGAGTAGGTAAACTGGGTTGAAGAGTAGGAGGCATAGTAGCAACAGAATGTGAAGTATAAGACAAACCCATAGGCTGGAACTCGGGAGCGTTGGGATCGAGTGTTGACTTCTTAACACGCTCTTCAGTACTGCTTGATTTACTAACAGACGACACAGGTACATCAACAACATTGGTTTTTACAAGTGCTGACGTGCACACGCAAGTAGGTGTAGACACTTTAGTAGGTTGGTCGTGACATAGTTTGACCTTATCTTTATCGGCTTGGGTGCTGGTTTTAGATATTCCATTAACTTGTGGAACAACGTCTGACTTTAGTGCATCCCCAACAGATATACTCACACGAACAGCTTCGGTGTGACTGGGCTTACTTGACTGAATACATACCTGAGACAGTTGACTGCCAAGGCAATTCACTTGTGTTTCTGCAGGAGCTAGATTTGTTCGGGAGTTGCTTTTCGCATTCCGCATCGAGTTCTGGACTGTCCCGTTGCGTCTAACAGCACTATACTTTTCCTCCTCATTTTCCATCCCAATATCTTCATTGTCAACTAAACTAACACATGAAGAATTTTCTGTGATGTCTTGCGCCAGTTTTGCACACCGCGCTTCGGTTTCAGAGAAATTTGGAGCAGACCTGTCAACAGGTGTCCTGGAAAATAAGATAGAACTGAAATCTAACTTACGTATACTCTCGGAGATCGTCATTATACGTGGAAACGACAGAGAACATTTTTTCATTTGTCTCAAACATTTCCATCGCAGAAAAGCTTCCCTGATCAAGTAAACAGTCTTTAACAACATCAGACGAAGCAAAGAACGGCACCAGCTCCTTGTCTTCCACAAAGTTGTTAGTTGAACAGTCTTTGGCGATCTCACTGTCCGTTTTTATATCATCTGAAAGAGTTCATAATTAAGTTTCTTACTCACCGACTAGGCAGTCCAACCTTTTAACGTTAGATATCTGAACCATTTTAATTTCTGTCCAGAGAATGGTTTTGTCAGACACGTTCTTACGATTACTTTTGTCATTTTTTTGTGCAACTTGAGCGTACGTTATACCGAGGTCAGCCTTGCAATATATTAAAATTGGCACTTACGGAAGGAGAAATAGCCTTTATCACACCGTGAACATGGTCGTCTTCGATAGTAATGATTTCCCCCACATTTCCCTACACATAAATGAAGTAAGTTATGCTTACAATAACATGGCGTCCAAGAATATACGTTAGTCTGGGGTTCGCGTATATCCCCAAGTTGTCATTTGAGGCATTCTAAAGAAGCTAAGAACCTGTTCAATATCACCATACCTGAGCATGCGCCACACGCAAAGGATTAATGGGGGGCATTGACATACGCTGATTTCGAGCTCTACAACATTTTGCTGTCGGAGAAAAGGAACTTACCTCAAAGACTTCGTCTTTCCACGTTGTGACTGACCTGACATCTTACGTTAATGAGGAAAATGTGCGTATTGATAAGTATATTTGGGAAACGAACAAGAAAGCCGTTTAACAATAATGAATGGATAGATACCAAGGACGTCTCGATAAGAGCAAGGAGCTTCACTATCGAATGTTTACCGCTCTAAGGTAACTTAAACAAGTTGTTCAACGTCCAATAAACTAATCTAACAATTAGCTTTTGGGAGACTAGATCGAATATCGTTCGGTGGCTTTTCAGCACTACCAGTGATACGTTGCTTTAAGCTACAAATCGAAATATTTCTTGCTGACTATGTGTAATAAAATCGAGAATAACTGGAGTTCAATTCTCAGATTTTCATTTTAAAACCAGAAGGTGAACTGATTGTGTTAATCCTTTCCTAGAATGCTGTATTAGTGATTTATCAGCCCCTCTCATGTGTAACGGAGATTGTAAGTGCCATTTCTCCTGGAAGTATGTTCCAAAGTTTGATTACTGGTTGTGTGGTGGACCAAATGTATAATAAGCTTGTAAATAAGCTTGTCAGATCTATCTCCACGGTTGAAAAACCTCTATAGTAATATTAGTAATTTGTTTATGCTTAATTTTTTAGATACCATATCATTTTGTGTGAAACTCTATGATTTTACTTAAGAATGCTGCTTTTTTTAATGACCAACAGCCAACTAGTGATCATCGATCGACTCTTTTATGAGCAGTTCTTACTGGTTCTTGTGCTATTCATCCATTTATCGTCTCCCTCCTGTCCTAGACAGAGTGTGTCCATTGGGTTTCTTTTTTCCCTTTCTTTTCGGGATCCTGAGTTAGGACCGGACTTGTGATGCGGTTTCATGAGTGTTGCGGTGTGCATCCTACCCATTTACAGAGTCTTTCCTAAATCTCCTCCTCACGTTCGACTTAATTTGTTCCCTTCAAAAGAAGGTTGTTGTTGATGATATCGAACCAACGGATAGGAAGTATTTTGTACAGGCAATTGTGTATAGCCACCTGTACACTGTTGATGATTGTTGTAGAAGTGGATTCTGAAAAGTTTCTACAGGTGTTGTAATAATAATGACAACAGTAATAATGATAGTAACAGTAATAATGACAAGATGCGTGAACGAGTTTAGATTAAGCTAAGAAGATTAACATGATTCAAATTAGGTCATCAAATCATAAAAATGATTACCAAGCGATTACGCCAAAAGTTGATAAAGGTAAAAGGAATGGTTGAACATACTTCTGCTGGACACAAACATCCGGATTTTTGATCGAAATAGCTATTGCTCTAGTCATCCGAAGAATTCTCAGTCCCACAGATTTAAGCGGATTTTTGCCAACCTGATATATTATTGTGGATGGTTGTATCATATTAAGTGTTTGTACTAAATGAGCTAAAATTGAGTGTGCTTAGTAAATTTTTCGAATATCAATATAATGAAATGAAATTAATTTCACGGTTGTATTTTACACAGAGAGTCAGTTTGCTAATGCATGAAAGTATTTTTATCATGAACTTTTGTGTTGTGGAAAACTACGAAAAATTAAAAATATTTGTAATTTATTTTGTCATACTTTCGGACTTGCTAATAATGTACATTCACCAATCCTCAGGGTGTCGATCCCAAGACTTTCACGGCTACTCATAAACTTAGAGAGTTGTGTCACCACAATTATAAGAAAGCATGTAACTCAAAACAACTTTCAACCAATGTCAAAGTGAGAATCTTCAATGCGAACGTCAAGACGGTTCTACTGTACGGAGCTGAAACTTGGTGTACCAGGACAACCATCACCAGGATGGTGCAAGTATTTATAAATCGTTTTTTACTCACGATACTCAACACCCAATGGCCAGATTCCATCAGCAACAGCCTTCTCTGGGAGAGAACAAACCAGGTTTCAGCTGAAGAGGGAATTCGGAAAAGGCAATGGAAATGGATAGGACACACACTTGGATTTAAATTTCATACCCCCAAAACATATGCCAACAGAATCGACACAGAAACTCAATTTGAGAATTTATTTGATCAAGTTAAAGAGCTGCACCCAGTTAGTGAAGAAAACAAAGGCTGGTTTGAATCTAAACTGGTCGATATTGCAAACCAATATATTGTTTCACCCGTTCCACAGTCTAGGCTTTTATCCAAAGACCACCAAACAGCATTACGAAATATTAAACGAAATGATGTTATATTACGGTCAGACAAAGGCTGAATTGTTGTTCTAATGAACAAAACACATTATGTCGCTAAGATGAAGTCCAACTTGAATGACCATATGAGATTCAAGTTAGAAAAATGTAACAGAGACTTAACTGATTCCATTGAGAAAAGAATCACCAAAGTACTCAGAGATCTTCTGAAAAAGTAGATGATCGATAACTCTACTTACAATAATCTACGACCTCGTGGGTCTCGTTTGCCCCACATATATGGATTACCGAGAATACACAAACAAGGTTATCCTCTTAGACCTATTTTGTCAATGATCAATTCACCATACCACAAAGTTGCACGATGGTTGTGTGGTGTTTGAATTAACTAATGATTCTTTTGTTGTTGTTGAATGCTCGATTTCGAATTCTAAATACAATACATTCGTTTGTGCCTGTGTCTTCTTAATTCAATTGCGTTAATCCTGGAATTCCTAATTCATACGATAATTTAGAATACTATATTGGCGTCGCGAGCGGATCCTGCAATGGAAAAGTTAGATATTCATTCAACTTCGGAAGCTTTTGAAGATTACTTTGAAAGGTTCGAAATCTGGGCTATGACCAACGAAGATGATGATGATGTTAATATTGTGGCACACTTCCTCACATTCATTGGAAAAGAAGCGTACAGCTTATTAAGAACTCTGGCTATGCCGGAAAAACCCATTTCGCTTTCTTATACAGCTCTCAAGGATCTACTGCTAGACTATGCTCAGTATACAAATTTCAAATGTCGTAAAGGAGGAAGATTTCGTAAAATGATTCATGACGATATAAAAAGTCCACTACATTTCTACGTCATCCCAACCCAGTGCATACTCAAGGTTATGCAGACAATTCATTGAATTTGGATGCAGTTCACGAGGATGGGGACAAGTTTGGTCAGTGTTTGTCCTGTTGCAAGTTCCACTCTTCTAATTCATGTAAATTTCATAATTCTAAATGCTTTAAATGTCGTGATATTGGACAAGTTCAGTCAGTTTGTAATGCTAATGTTCATCTTACTGCAACTAATATTAAGTCTTGTAATTCTGATTCTACTGAGTCGAGTATTCATGATGATCATTTATCTTTATCAACGATTTCAAAAGACAATGCAGAGTCATATGACAGTTCAGAGTTAGATGAAATCCAGAATTCTTGTGAGACAACAGTTCCTAATCAACCGATTTATCAGAATTCTCATGCTATTGTACCAGGTATGACTTTTCCTAATGATTCACATATTTCTAATGAAATTACTTGCAATATTGAGGAAAATATGTTAAATGAACCTAATCATGATCGGAAACCTGATGTGGTTTGGATAGATGCTGATTTTTCTAATGATCCATTACTGTGCAATGACAGTCCTGATGAATTTCATGAGAATATTTCAGAAGAATCAAATCCTGATGTCATATCATATATTATCTCTCCTCATAATGCATTCGATCCTTGTGAAAAACCTGCTCAATGCGAAGCACGAGTACTAAGTGTTCTCGAGTTTGATTATATTTCCGATGATTTCATATCAACTGCTGTTTACCCTTATCACAAAAACAGTTCTAATGTTTACTCTAAACAATGTGAGAAATATGTTTTAAATGAAGCCACATTATTCATAACTTGGGAGTATAAAGATCCAACATTATTTCGTGGGGGGGGGATAGTGTTGAAAAATCTATGGTTCAAATTCTAGATATTAATGATTTCAGTACAAAACCGATATGCTGATTGTATACAATTCCAGGTGAGTCTGTTCCGATTTCGTTTGTTAATTCCTATACTAATGAGCACTTTCTAGATACTACAAAGTTTTTATCTTATACAATGTCGGACAGACTCAGGATGAACTTAACAAGAAGACGTACAACCGATTACAAACACTTATACTTCTATTTAAGCTGTGGCGGATGTGGTGTTTGAATTAACTAATGATTCTTTTGTTGTTGTTGAATGCTCGATTTCGAATTCTAAATACAATACATTCGTTTGTGCCTGTGTCTTCTTAATTCAATTGCGTTAATCCTGGAATTCCTAATTCATACGATAATTTGAATACTATAGGTTGGCAGATAAGTTAGAACCAGTGCGTCAACGATTAGCCACCTATACACTAAAGGATTCATTTGTATTTGCTGACAGCATGAATCACATAAATATTGCAGGTAAGTTTATGGTTTCTTTCGATGTAACATCATTGTTTACAAAAATACCACTTCTTGAAACCATAGACATAATTTGTCAACATCCTGACATTCTACCTCTACCAGTATCAGAATTCAAACGACTATTACTCATTTGTATAAAAAATGTTCAGTTCCAGTTCAACGATATCATATACAAACAAACCGACGATGTAGCGATGGGAAGTTCATTAGGTCCTGTCCTAGCAGATATTTTCATGGCTAACCTCGAAAGAACCAAACTCAAACGAGCGAATGATGAAATGATGTATTATTCGAGGTATGTTGAGGATACCTTCATCGTATGAAATAATAAACAACATGCAAAAAACCTGCTACAGTTTTTCAACGAAGCCCATCCAAATATCCATTTCACTATGGAACATAAAAAAAAACAAGTTCCATTTTCTCGATATCGCGATGAAAAGAAGAAAGGATGGCAAAGTTCAACGTTCAGTTTATAAGAAAGACACATGGAATGGTATTTATCTCAATTTCAATAGCTTTTGTCCAATCAGTTACAAAAAGGCACTGGTCAAAACACTGTTTCACAGAACAGAAAGAATATGTACTTCCGATACACTAGAAGGGGAAGTTATGAATGTTAAAAAATGTTTGAAGAATAACGGATACCCACTGAAATTTATTGAGAAATATGGCAAACGTGAAGATAAAAACCCAAAGAAATTACAGCAAATAAAAAGCCTATTTTTATTCAACTTCAATTCAAAGGTGACGATGTCACAGGATCAATCAATATGAGACTAAAAACTGCACTGACAA